AACTAACTGTTCACTTTAAAATGGTTAATTTTACATTATGTAAATTTCACCTCAATAAATTATTTCTTAAAAGGATAAATGAACAAACAACAATATTTCTAAGAAAAAAAAAACAGAAATATGACATTTTCATCCAGTTAGGTACTCAACAAGGACTTTATCACATACTATTTTACAAGAACCTGTTTTGCTAACAAAATGTATAATATATTCTTTTACCTTTTTAAAAAATTTATTTTTGTATTGATTTCAGAGAGAAAGGAAAGAAGAAGTTAGAAACATTAATGATGGAGATAATCATTGATCAGCTCCTCCTGCACCCCCCTTATTGAGGATTGAGCCTGCAACCTGGGCATGTGCCCTAACCAGGAATCGAACTGTGACCTCCTGAGCTCTTTTACCTTTTATGACGTTGATACAGTTCATATGTGAACAAATGCTGAAGTATAACACAAAAGGAAACAGATAATGTAGTAATGGAAATAAATTATTGGACTAACTCTAATTGGTGTTTATATATCTAAAAATAAAAATGTTTTGCAAGCAAAGATGATGCCCATCCTCTCTTCCACAAAATTAAGAACTTCCAATGTCTGTTTTCAAAAGTATTGCAATTGGGAAGATGAAAATTTTTGGAGATAGATGGTAGTGATGGCTGCACAACAAAGTGAATGTACTTAATGCCACTGAACTGTACACCTAAACACAGTTAAAATGGTAAACTTTAGGTTACGTATTTTTAACACACATACCAAGTACTGCAAGTACAAGAACTGAAGAAATCATAAGCTAGGGCCCATTTAGAGAGGTATTTAAAATGTGGAGCTGATCTTTACAAGATGGATATGGACCAGGTGGATGATGAGCAGTTAATTACATTCAAACGATGTTGTCCATTTCAGGTACATGTGCCTTCAAAACCAGGAAAATATGGAATAACAATTTGTATTTTCTATGTTAAAACTTAACATTACTAAAATAGTTGTTTTTTTACTCTCTCTCTATTTTTACTTCTGTACATTATTCATGACTTAAAGGTGTAAAAAATGTTAGAAGGTCCACTGGACCCAGACAGAAAATTGATTTATGAAGGTTAAAGGCTATGACTCTGTAGTCCAAGTGCCAGGTCTAACACTTATTAGCTCTGTGTCCTTGGGTCAGTAACCTCTCTCAGTCTGTTTCCTCATCTGCAAAATGGAGATAATGATAGCATCCATCTCATAGAGTTGTTTTGAAGATTAAAGAAGACAATGGACATAACATTTAATATAATGTTTGGCACATAGTAAGTAAACCATGAATGCTAACTGCTATCATCAGCACTACTATCCTATGAGCATGCTACGTTCATCCAACACAGATTCTACTTCCCACATAGTGTGCCACATAGGGAGTTTTAAGATACTGGGTAGCCTGGCTGTCATGGCTCAGTGGTTGAGCATCAACCTATGAACCAAGAGGTTAAGGTTTTGATTCCTGGTCATGGCACATGCCCGGGTTGAAGGCTGTATCCTTAGTAGGGGGTGTGAAAGAGGCAGCCAATCAATGGTTCTCTCTCATCATTGATATTTCTATCTCTCTCCCTTCCTCTCTGAAATCATTTAAAATATACTTAAAAAACAAACAAAATTACTGGACATATTTACGGCACTAAATGAATCACAATGGAGAGAAGGGATCTGCATTTTGAAGAATTTAGCAAAGGGATTCATAAAATTCAAGTGTTACACTATAAATGAGAATTCTTCCAATTCTTAGAAATAAAAGCAACATAAAAGGTCTATGGTTCTAAACCAAGTGTTTACACCTATCAAAAGGTGGAGGACTCAAGAGCTCATTTCTGATATGATTAACTTAAAATATGGTCAGATAATATGAATGAAGTGTTTAGTTACATGTATTATGCCACACATACAGTAATGTACACTAACTAGTAAAAACAGTACAAAGTATCATTATTTTCAAAAGGTTATTAATTTTCCATTTTTTCATCTTCTGAGTTAATATCTGATTAGAACTTGATATAGTTAGATAATATCCATGATGTATGTAATTAAAATACATCATTCCCAAATATTTATAGGAAGTTTATGGAACCATGAATGGACTTAAAAAAAACAGATCCTCCAAAACTATCTTAATCTTGATTAAGCATGTGATAATTTTTTAAACATACATTTTGATTGGTTTCAGAGAAGGAGAGGAAGAGAGAGATAGAAACATCAATGATATGAGAGAATCATTGATTGGCTGACCCCTACTGGGGATCGATTCCCACAACCCGGCCATGTGCCTTGACCAGAATCAAAACATGACCTCCTGGTTCATAGGTCGATGCTCAACCAAGCCAGCCAGGCAGAATGTGATTTTTTATTTTTACTTTTCAACCTTTTCACAAGAGCCTCTGGTATCCCAATAATTCATAAAATTCAAACAAAATCATGAAGCCCTTAGCTGTTTGGGTTTACTATTAAGTTTCTCATTTTCCTTCTTCACTTCCCAACCCATGCAGTTAAATACTATTATTTCTCAGACTGATGCTAAATGCTTTTAAAACTACTCCACATTTGTGATCTCACTGTATTTCTAATTCCTCCATTCTGATTTGTGGAAAGTAATTAGGAACTTCTTTCACATTCTTAAGGGCTTTCTTCAGTGGAAGAAATACAAAGAGTCAACATTAAACTTAATTATATAAACAGGATTTCGAAAGCAAGATTCTCCCCCTTCACAACAGAGTGTGGATAGAATTATAAGTAACTCTTGTGGTGTCTCCTAATTACGGCATTCAAGTGAAACAGTTATTAAGTACTACCATGTTTATAAGGTAATACAAAAATAGAGCCACTAAGAAACTTAGTGACTTGCACTGAAAACAATTTACAATCTACTTGGGGAGGCATGATATAAACACATGAAAAATACCTAAAGTGAAAGGACAGCAGAGTAGGAGAGCCTGAAAGGCTCTGCAACCAATCAAACCTAGATTTGAATCCCGGTTTCAGCACCTACTTATTACAGGATCTGGAACAAGATACAGTGCCTTCTTCTAGACCAGAGGTGGGGAACGTCAGTCCCCGGGCCGTATAAGGCCCTCGAAATAATTTGGTCTGGTCCTGCCAAGGCATTAGGGCTGAGTTAATTAAATGTTTGACCAAATATAGCAGGCTAATTTTTAAGCTGATAATTTTGTATGGCCTGAGAATGATGTTATAAATATCCAAATGGCCCTTGGCAGAATAAAGGTTCCCCACCCCTGTTCTAGACTATAATTCAAATGGGACCACCTACCTTGCAAATCTGTTGCAAGAATAAATACAGAGCACCTAATATAGTCCCTGGAACATTATAGGTACTCAATAACTTTTGTTGTTTTTACTATATTATTATCTTTGAGCTGAAAAAGATTATTGAATCCAATTCTCATTTTACAAGTGGGGACATGAAAGTGTCACAAAATGGAATATGAATGTCAAATAAGTACAAGAAACAGGGTATTTGACAAGTTCATGAGTAAGAAACCACAGGAGAATCCAAGTAAGGCTTCCACAGGTGGACACTGATTTATGAAATGAACATTGCTTTCTATTGAAATTGGAAAAAAAATAAAAGCACCATTGCTTCTTGGTACTGATTTGCAAACAGGGGTTCTGAACTTGGAAACTAAACGCACAGTTTACACGACAAGTATAAGAAGAGAATGAACCCATGTCAGCGAAGTTAAAATCCAGCTTTTCCGTTAGAACAGCAATACAGTATTTTCTAAACACCCAGAGCAAAAAAAAAAAAAAAAAAAAAAAGTCTCCTAAATTCAACAGGTCAGGCTTCACGGAACGATCATGAAATCTTTCTCCCACTGGCCAGATGTAATTTTGTTCTGGGACCAGTTTAAGACAATATCCAGGCTTTCCATTAAATACCGCTTCACTAAACATATTGTAACCAGTTAATTCTGAGCGACTATGCCTTAATCTCTCCAAATGCACAAAACACCATACACTTTGTTTGAACCACATAATGTAAACTCTGAAGGTTGGCAGGCTTACAGGAAGGTCACCACTGTGTCAATCACCTCCACTAGAATTGTATTCAGTTCCTTTTTGTTATTTCAGCATTATCAGTGATTGTCTTGTTGCTGTCCTCATAAACATTTTAAGTCAGCAGCCCTAAAAACACTTTTGTGAGCAATGAAAAAAAAAATTATTTTCACCCCAGAATTATATTTCTATGCTAATTTTCAAAGACTCTCTCTTTCCTGCCTCTCCCAAGAAACCTTTCTCAACGTTTGGTACCATCTTCATTTCAAAACTTCTACATCCGGTCACCAGGTTCAGATTCTGATTCTCACAAAAAGCTTACGTTTTTCTTCTTTTGACTGAAATGAAGTGAACGTCCCCAGCAAAACTAAGAGGTAACACACAGAAGCTGGTTTCTACTTTACTGAGAAACAGGAACTGTAACCAATTCCCCAACAGCTACTCATTGGAGGTTAAGTTAAAAGTAATTTAAAAAGCCGGAATAACCACGCATTGTTTTACAGATTTTCAAGATGAAGAACAAGTGAACCTCTGGGGTTTTGTTTGTTTTTTGAAGGGAGCTAAAAACCTAACACGAAGAGTCCGGGGCTACGGGAAGGACAAGTAAGTGATCAAGCCGGCATGCACTCAATTAGAAAATTAATTTTCTTCTCTCCTTTGTCTGCTCTGTCTGCTTTCCCAAACAGCAGTAACCACCCATGGGGCACCCATAGGGCACCCATGAGGCCCTGAGCACCGGTCCTCCCCGTCCAGTAAGGAGGTCCCAGGATGCGGATCCGGGGCCGGAGCACCGGGAGAGGAGGAAACACCGAGACCTGACTCTGCCCCAGGCCCGAGCAGCCCTTCCAGGGCCCGGGCCTCCCGCGGCGCCTCGGCCGGGGAACGTGACTCAGGAAAGCGCGGGGTGGCCGCGGCCTAGCGCGCTGTCTCCGCGGCCTCCGGGCCCGGCCCTCCCCGTCTTACCTGGGGGCGGGCGGGGGTCCGCGGCCTGGACCCTGGTCTTCCCGCGGCGGTGACGCGACGGCGGCGGGGCGGCGGCGGGGGGTCAGACTCGGCCCGGATCTGGCTCCGCGAACCGGCGATGAATCAGCCCGATTCCATTCAAAAGAGTCGCCCAGGCCTCCGCCGCGAAGTACTTCCGGGTTCACGGCTCCGCTTCGGCTTCCGTTCCCCCGAAGGCCAATGGGAGACGACTCGGGAGCCGGCGGCGTCCCCCGAAGGACCGCCCCGGACGGTCTGCCCGGGCGGCGGAGCTTCCCGGGGCCGCGCTGGGAGGGCGGGGCGGACGGTGCGGGGGCGGCCTCCGCGGCTCCGACCGCCTCTCTCTCCCCGACCTCCGGGCGCCCGGATCTGGGCTGCCGGGTTCCCAGCCCGGCGGGGCGGGCGGGGGAATGGAAGTGCAGGATGGCGGAGATCGGAGCCCCGTCGCTCCGTCCACCGCGGTCCTACTCGAAAACTAAACGCTTCGCTGGGTCAGCTGAGAAGCAAACGAGAAGGAGGAGGGGTGTGAAAAGAAGAGGAATCGGTCGGAGGCCCATTTCCGTAGTGCCATCTACCCCCTTGTCTTCACCGCGTTGCAAGGATTGGATTTCAAGGAAAACCAACGTTTTACCAAGTGTTAAAGCCACTTATTTGAGGCTCAGTTGAATTGGCAGGGCTTAAGGAATCATTTACTCGTGTTCCTCCGTGTAATTTGCATTAACAACAATGTTTTATCCATTTACCTGATCTGTGCTAGGTTTTAGCAAAAACGCCCAAGAAATGTTCACCAAGTCCCATTCACTTGGTCAAATGTCTTGCAAATAATAAGCATCTTTAGAACATTCCTAAGCCAAGAATGGTGATGAATTTACTGGGTGGAGGGGAAGAAGGGGTTATGGCATCTGAACTCAAGGCTGTTTGAGTGGTACAATTACAAAGAATTTCCCTCTCAAAGATGCTCCGTCTCTATCTAAAAAAAAATACATAGATGATTTAAGCGTAGGTAATATTAATTATATTTGGATCCTCATCCTTATGTTTTCCCCCAAACCTATTCCTCCTCTGTTTACATTTTTGGTGAATGAACCCATCCTTAACCCATTTCCTAATCCAACCTGAGAGCAGACACTTCCCTCTTATTTACCTGTTCCCACTGGCTTTCCAATTTATCACCCTGGAAGTCATGAAGAGTTTAACCTGTAAAATAGCTTCCCCAATCCACCACTCCCCTCTGTTCATTCTCTCTTCTTCATCCTTAACTCAGGCCTTCATCACTCTTTTCCTATCATGCTGCAATAATCTCCTTGATCTCCCTGTCTCCGGTCTGTCCCCCTTCAATTCATTCTCCACTTGGTTGGCAAAGATTTTTTTCTGGCTGCGCAAATGCAGTCATGCCCCTTCTTGGCTAAAACCCTAACCAGTGGTTCTCAACCTTCTGGCCCGTTAAATACAGTTCCTCATGTTGTGACCCAACCATAAAATTATTTTCGTTGCTACTTCATAACTGTAATGTTGCTACTGTTATGAATAGTAATGTAGATATCTGATATGCAGGATGGTCTTAGGCGACCCCTGTGAAAGGGTCATTTGACCACCAAAGGAGTCGCGCGACCCACGGGTTGAGAACCGCTGCAAACCTAACCCATAACATCTAATAAGAGATTAAAAATCTTCCAACTTTTTTGGAGCACCATTGCTCCACCCATTCTAAGGTATTTAGCTGGGATGAGATGTCCGTAGGGACTTTTTTAAAATTCTGACATATTCCTGGGAATCTGGAAGGAAATATACATGCTTAGGGCCATTTGCTTGCTCAGGAAAGACCTGAAAAGGCCTTAAGCTTTCACTTCTGCCTGCCCTTTAGGCTCTATATAAGTAAGAAGTAAAGACTAAGGTAGAGTTGTAAAGTCCTTGGCTGAGTGTGGAAGGCATGCCCCAACACACATATAAGATCCCTGGCAAGGACTGGGAGACTAATTAGTTGAAGATATTTAAGGAGATCTCTGGCCAGTCATCAGATGACCATTAAGCTAACTAAGCAAAGACTTCAGTGCTTCAACAAAGAACACAGACTTGAAGGAATGAATTCAGAAAAGTCACTAAGCCAACAACTATTAGAACAAACAGAAACAACAAAAATCCTGGGGAGAGAGTAGAATTTGATTTCCTGAGTTGCCATATTTTATTATTTTAAATGTCCAGTTTTCAAAATAAAAGTATTGAAAAAGTATGATACTTACAAAAAACAAAACAAAACAAGAATATAATGCCCATACTTAGGAGTAAAAGCAATCAGTAGGAACTATCCTTGAGAAAGCTCATACATTGGACTTATTAGATAAAGACTTTAAATAAGATATTGTAACTATGTTCACAATGCTAAAGGAAACAACGTCTAAAAAAATAAGAGAAAAATATGAGAAGTGTGTTTCACCAAATAGATAATATTAATGAAGATATAGAAATTATTTTTAATCACAGAACAGTGCAAACATAAGTTTTGGTTTGGTGACAAACCAAAGAATTCACATGACTCACTTATTATGATATCCACTTTATTTTGCTGATCTGGAACTGAACCCACAAAACTCCAAGGCATGCCTGTAGAAAAGCGAATAAAGAAATATAAGCAGAGCCTCAGAAGCCTGTGGGACACAATCAAGCACACCAACATATATATGATGGGAATCTTAGAAGGAGAGGAGGAGGAGACTAAGCAGAAATAATGGTCAGAAAATTCCCATATTTAATGAAAAACCATCTATACATCCAAGAAGCTTAAAACGCCAAGTGAGATAAACTCAAAGAAACCCACACTTAGACCCATTATAATCAGCCTGCTGAAAGCCAAAGACAAGGGGAGAATCTTGAAAGTGTCAAGAGAGAATCCACTTATCACATATTTGTCAGTAAGATTTACAGCCAAAGCTATGGAGGGAGAAAGCAGCGGGATGACATTCAAATACTGAAGGAAAAGACTTGCAATGAAGAATTCTATATCCAAACACTATCCTTCAAAAATGAAGAAATTAACACATTCCCAAAATGTATGTATAAATAAAATTAGAGAGAATTTGTCACTAGGAAATTTGCCCTCCAAAAAATACTAAAGGGAGTCCTTTAGGCTGAAATGAAAGGACACTAGACAATAACTCAAACCCACAAGAAGAAATAAAGGACACATGTATAGGGTACTACATAAGTAAATATAAAAGACAGTACAAATATGTTTTCATTTGTAATTCATTTTTTTCTCCTATATGATTTAAAAGACAACTACATAAAGCATATTTATAAGTCTATGTTGATGGGCATATAATGTATAAAGATATAATTTGTATTACAATAACAGCATAAAGGAGGGGAAAGAGAATGAAGCTATATAGTAGCAAAGTTTTTCTGTACTACTAAAGTTCAATTAGTATTAATCTGAACAATCCTATATAATAAAAGGCTAATATGCAAATCGACCCAATAGCAGAACAACTGGTTGCTATGACACACACGGACCACCAGGGGGCAGACACTTGATGCAGGAGCCGGGCTCACAGCTGGCAAGCACAGTAGTGGTGGTGAAAGCCTCTCCTGCCTCCAGGGCAGCGCCAAGGATGTCCAACTGTCAGAGAGTGGGCCTAAGCTGTCAGTTGGACATCCCCTGAGGGCTCCCAGGCTGCAAGAGGGCGCAGGCTGGGCTGAGGGAACCCGCCCCAAGTGCATGAATTTTGTGCACTGGGCCTCTACTATTGCTATAATTGGTAATTTTAATCCCCAGAGCAACCACTAAGAAAATATTTAAAATATAGATAATAAAATAAATAACAGGGAATTAAAATTGTACACTACAAAGTATGTATTCAACACAAACGGCAGCAGTAATGGAGGAATAGAAAAAAATGTACAACTTTAAAAAATAAATTACAAAATAGCAAATGTAAATACTACTTTATTAGTAATTACATTAAGTGTAAAGATTAAACATTCCAATTAAAAGGCAGCAATTGGCAGAATAGGTTAAAAAAAAAAGATTGAACTATGTGCAGTCCACAAGAGACACAATTTAGATTCAATGACACAAATATATTGAAACTAAGAGGATGAAAAAAATATATACCATACAGTTAACAGTAATGGTATAACAACTTCGAAAATTGTTCTGGTATTTTTTAAAAAGTTAAAAACACAATTACCATTTCACCTAGCAACTCCACTTTATATATTTACAAAAAATAAATAAATGTCCCTCTCCCATCTCCTATGCCCACATTTCACCCACCTTTTTGGAGCGTGGTCAGTTAATAGCAGCCATGTGTATTACCCTACAATCAAACTCTATCATCCCTGTTTTACTTATCTGCCTTCCCATCTAAACTTTTTTTAAAAATTAGTGTTGTGCCCTAACCGGTTTGGCTCAATGGATAGAGCATTGGCCTGCGGACTGAAGGGTCCCAGGTTCAATTCCAGTCATGGCATGTACCTTGGTTGTGGGCACATCCCCAGTAGTGGGTATGCAGGAGGCAGCTGATAGATGTTTCTCTCTCATCAATATTTCTAACTCTCTATCCCTCTCCCTTTCTCTCTCTAAAAAAATCAATAAAATATATATTTTTAAAAATTAATGTTTTATTTTTAAAATATGTTTTAATTATTTTTTTAATCCTCATGCATGGATTTTTTTTCATTGATTTTTAGCAAGAGTGGAAAGTAAGGAGGGAGGGGGAGAGAGGAGAGAGAAAGAGAGAGAGAGAGAGAGAGAGAGAGAGAGAGAGAGAGAGAGAGAGAGAGAGAGAAACATTGATGTGAGAGAAACTCATTGATTGATTGCCTCCCGAATGTGCCCCAACTGGGGCGGGCATGGACCCTGCAACCAAGGTACTTGCCCTTGACTGGAAATCAAACCTGCAACCCTTTGGTGAGCAGGCTGATGCTTTATCCACTGAGCAACACCAGGGAAGGGAGAGGGATAAAGAGATAGAAACATCGATGAGAGAGAAACATCAATTGGCTGCCTCCTGCATGCCTGAGCCTAAAACCAGGGCATGTGCCCTGACCAGGAATTGAACTGGTGACTTCTTGGCTCAACCACTGAGATACCCCAGCTGGGCCCCATCTAAACTTTAAGCTTGAGAACAGAGAACATGGCCTGGGCACAGAATGTACTAAAAATTAAAATAATAGTTATCCAAGTACTTTTGCTTACTAAGAATACTCAAACGGATCAGGCCATTTTTAAAAAAGATTTTTTAAAATTGATTTTTAGAAAGAGAGAAAGGAAGGAGAAAGAGAGAGAGAGAGAGAGAGAGAGAGAGAGAGAGAGAGAGAGAGAGAGACATTGATGTGAGAGTGGTACATCATGTGGCTGCCTCCTGCACGCCCTACAGGGGACTGAGCCCACAGCCAGGCTTGTGCCCTGACCAGGAGTGGAAATGGCAACCTTTGGTGCACTGGATGACGCCCAA